GTACCAAAGAAAATAAAATAAGTGAAAGTGGTGTCATTGATCTAGGTATTAGCGACCATTCTTTTACTTTCTGTACACGGAAAAATATTAGACGGGCTATAGGTCATCACAGGACTAATTATATCAGATCCATGAAAAAGTATACAGAAGAGTCTTTCAATCTTCAACTATTTGTTGTTGATTGGTCACGAATAACTGACTGTACAGATGTAAATGAGGCATGGTCAATATTTCAACATGTTTTTATCTCAAATTTGAATATGATAGCGCCACTGAAACGGATAAGAATAAAACAAAGATCAGAAACTTGGGTGACTAATTCTTTCCCTAATTCAAGAGAGAAATATAGTATACAAAAAATTGAGGGAAAGAGCAAAAGATGAGACGCTCTATAAAAGATACAGAGTATTAAGAAATATGGTCCAAAGAGAGGTGAAAAAGGCTAAACTCGATAACTTACAAAACAAGATAGAAGAAAATAAACAAGATTCGAAAAAAAATTGGCAGAATCTAAAAAGCTTAGGATTGACAAATAAGAAGCGAAAAGAACAAGAATCTGTCATTAAAAGTGATAGGGAATTATGTCATGATAAGATGGCCATCGCTGATGAATTCAATTCTCATTTCACAAATGTGGCTGCCAAATTAGTAGACAAACTCCCCTCTTCCAAAGACTTTTTCAGCGCAGAACATGATTGTATTCGTGAGTTTTACGAAAGAAAAGGTGTACGTGAAAACAGCTTCGAGTTATTACCAATCAGTGAACAATTTGTTTTCAAAGAGTTACGTAAGTTGAATGTATCAAAAAGTACTGGGTTAGACTTGATTCCAGCTAAATTTCTAAAAGATGGTGCGAAGGTTTTATTTAAGCCTCTAAGTTACTTACTGAACCTATCTATCTTGACGAGTACTTTTCCAGAGGACATGAAAACAGCAAAAGTGACTCCACTTTATAAAAAGAAAGATAAAACTGATGTTAGCAAATATAGACCTATTAGTGTTTTAAGCGTAGCATGATCAAAGATTCTAGAAAAATCGGTCTGTGTTCAAATTGAAAGATACTTCAAAGAAAATGATATAATTTATGAATTTCAATCTGGTTTTCGACATGATTATTCGACTGAAACATGTCTAATTCATTTGACTGATTATTTGAGAAGAGAAACTTCCCAAGGGCGCTTTTTTGGTATGGTGCTCCTTGATCTGCAAAAAGCTTTTGATACAGTTAATCATTGCGTCTTATTGAAGAAGTTACAACTAATGGGTTTTGATAAGGCAAGTTTAGATTGGTTCAGATCGTACTTATCTAATCGACACCAAGTAGTGGCCATTCATGATATTCGTTCAAAACTAATGCCTATAACATGCGGTGTTCCTCAGGGAAGCATTTTTAGGCCCAATTCTATTTTCAAGTTATATAAATGATATGTGTATTTGTATAAAAGACTTCAAACTATTATTGTACGCAGATGACAGCGTACTACTCTATTCAAATCCTGATCCTAAATATATTGAGGAAAAGCTCAGTGAACGTGTGTCGATTGGATGACTGATAATAAGCTTTCTTTATACTTGGGAAAAACAGAAAGCATTTCCTTTTGTTCTAAAAGTAGTTCTAAAAACTATAATAAAAAATAATCAAGCAATCAAGGGAAAAGAGTCTCTGAAGTATTTAGGCATTGAGTTGGCTAGCGCAATTTCATTTTCATCTTTAGTAGAATCAGTTGTAAAAAAAGCAAATTCTCGTCTGAAATTTTTGTACAGATATCAAAGTTGTATGGATTTAAAAGCAAGACGTACACTCTGTTTTGCTCTTATTCAATGTTTATTTGACTATGCTAACCCCGCATGGTATAGTAACATAAACAAGTCAGATCAAAAGAAGTTGAAGATTATACAGAACAAAATGGTGAGCTTTATCAACTGTTCTGGTCCAAGAACTCATGTTGGCTACAGCGAACTTTCTAAAGCTGGTTTTCTTGAAGTCGACCAAAGATCAAAACAACTCGTATTGCATCACGTGCATAAAATATATCATACTAGGTCGAATCATTATATTCGATCCAACTTCGATCTTGTTACTGACGTACATGATTATAATACAAGAAATAGCCGATTCAACTTTAACTTACCAGAAAAAGTAGGTAGTATTGGAAATTCGTTTTATTACAATGCCATAAAACATTGGAATTCCCTTCCCAATGGTGTAAAAGAAATAGGAAACTATGATCATTTCAAGAGGAAATTAAAGGAATACCTAATACTTGACAGTCAGAGAAGAGAAGTGAATGACATGTTATATGATTGAAATTTTTATTCTTCTGTCGGTTCATACGTTTTCATGTTGTATATACTTATGTTTTCGTACGTTATAGAAATTCTACAAATTCATCATTATTTTCCTCTTCTTCCTTCTCCTCTTTTTCTTCTTCTCCTTCTTCTTTTTCTTCTTGTACCTAAAATCATTTCTATTATCAGTTTAATGTTGATAATATTATTAACATCTTTAATAAGTAGTTCTTTTAATTGTCTTATCTGTATGTAAATATTACTATTTTAACTTATTAATTTTATACATGTCTGTAAGGGACCCCACTGGAAATAAGCTCTCGAGCTTTCGTGGGTTATCCTGTTCAAGCTGACTTATTTTTGATCTGTTATTATTGTGTATTGTTGTATGTTGGAAGCTTGTCGAATAAAAATCAATCAATCAATCAAGTGACATGAGAGTGCGAAGGTGCGAAAGGATCAAACGAAATTGCACTCCGCGTCAAAATAAACATAAATTTTTGTATGCGCGGCGCATGGTATGCGCATGGTTTGCTGCCTAGTGCGCGCTCACTATCGGCAATTTCGTGAATTAAAAAACAAACAAAAAATCGCTGTGATTTAGGCCCAGATAAACTGTTTTAAGCCCATTAAACGTTCGAGGTGTTGTATAAAACAAATAGTGAATGGCCTTATTCGTGCATGGAACAAGATTTTGCATTCGTTGAATAGAGCGTCTCTTATCTTACCTCGTGCAAAATCTTGTACCATTGCACTCATGGGCATTCACTATTTGTATATATTATGTTGCATTGTACCATGTTATATTTGTTTTATATAGAATTCTACGTCAAAATTTCAAATCTAAAAGAAAAAAACAAAGGATAATTGGGGGAGGGGGGCACTCATTGCCTTCCTATTATCTGAAGCCATATGGATCAGGGGGTTGCTGAACAGAAAGAAAGAAATCGTAGGTACAGCCGTCCGGCGCATTTTTTTTTTTTTTTTTTTTTTAATCTGATAGATTCCCTTTCTCCTTCTTTGTATTTCCCTGTTTTTCCTTAGTCTAGATCTATGATCCTCTCAGCTCTTCAATTATATATTTATATGTTCTTCCTTTGACGTATCCTCTTCTCTTTCCTTATGTATTTTCTTGTGTTAGTCCTTCTCCATATCCTCTCCACTATATCCTTGTTTTCTCCTTTCTATCATCTTCCCATCCCTGGGTGCGTTGACGACCTAGACTCTTTTACCAGAGCACTTCTTGGATTTTTTTTCGCGAAAATGGCTAAACAGTTGTGTAAAAAAAAATATGCGCCGCCCGGCCGGCCCCGATAGACTGGGCTACGTCTCACGAAACCGTCATAAGTACAAGTTGAGCAACATCCCATTGAAATGCGTGTATTAAGTTTAACACGCGTTTCAATGGAATGTCGCTCAACTTGTACTTATGACGGTTTCGTGAGACGCAGCCCTAGTGGCGTGATCATATGTTTATCACTTTGTTTACCGTCACCCATGGTTGCTCCCGTATGCATCCTCAACCTTGACGCATGATGATAACTATTGTGTGTACTTCACCAAGCTGTACACTACTCCCCGAAGCAGACAACAACAAAACAACGACAAATATTATGCTGCGTATCATACACTGCTATAATGCAGTGTCTATTTTGTCTTGATTCCAAGCGTCTCACACATCATACACAGAAAACAAATTGTTTGTATATTGCTTGCGCTGCGTGCGTTCATACGCACTGTGGCCCAAATTCATAGGGGAGGTAGTGTTCGGGCCTTTACTTGACTGAATGATAAATAATACCATAGTTAAAACGTACACAGACTCATGATTTGCAAGTCATACATTTGGAAAGAAAATATAGCTGTGACCAGGCCGACAAATTGGATTAAGACACTCAAGAGGCAGATAATAATATTAATAATGTTACATTTATATAGCACATTCTACTAAGAATACAATTCTCCATGCGTTTTTACATTTTACACCTGAGAAAACATAACAATAATACCAAAAAAATATAAACACAACTGAAGGAAAAGATCGATAAGTCGGGCTTTCCTCAAGTATCGAAATATCGATCTACGTGTAGCGCATGGACCAACGGATTCAATTCGTCCTTGTTTTCACGAAGTGACGGTAGTGAGGAAAATCGTCACGCAAAGTGAATGCAATTTTTTTTTCACTACCGTCACTTCGTGAAAACAGCGACGAATTATCGAAAAGATGGCAACAATTAAGCAGGGACTAGAATATACTAAATGTTGACGAATGGACAATCTGACACCTTTCATCAAGGAGTAAATGTAAGCTACCAGGTTGCAGGTTCGAGGATTACATCATGATGTCACCTGATGTAAAACATTTTTAAAAAAGACAGAGAAAGAGCAAGAGCAAGAGTTGGTGATAATAGTCAGGTTTTGACTGATTGCCATTACAACAAAAAAACAACAACAACAGCAAGAGAAAAGGGGCATATGGGGACCTCATACAGGCCATACACTTTCTCCCCTGATCGCGAGCCCGATGCCCACTCCCCCCTCCCCTCCCCCCCCCCCCCTCTCTCTCTCTCTCTCTCTCTCTCTCACTCTCTCTCTCTTTCTCTCTCTTTCTTTCTCTCTCTCGATCTCTCTCTATCTCTATTTCTTGCCCCTCTCTCTTTCGATTACTTCGTCTCTCTTTGTTAAAAAAAATATATTGAATTACTATTTACCTGTTACTGTATAGCTGGTGTTGAACTCCTCCATAAAGGCTATGAACAAAACATTGTAGCTATATAATATCCCGTAGAGAACAGTGTATATGAAGAACGAGGCGCCGACGACAACCCATCCCCAAGGCGGCCGTAGCCGCTGGCAGAGTGGGAGCTTCCCGCCTGTAGAAGTCATCATTAAATTCCTCCTCCGCTGTAACAATGAGAATGGCCCCAATGGGTTAGTAATATCGACGCCTGAACTATATAGATATATTCAAGGATACCAGGGTGCACAATGACCCAACACTTTTCGAGTTCAGATTCAGATTCAGATTCAGATTAATTTGATTGGTCCATTTGGAAATTCATTTGTTGGCATATACATAAAGCACATGAACAATACAGTATACAATATAGTATATAAATAATGAATGGTTATGAATTCAATAGTGCGAATATATTCATGAGTTGAAAGTTTAACATTCTATTCAACTCATGCGTCAGCCGAGTTGAATAGAATTAACGTTAATCTTTCAACGAATGAAAATATTCGCAGTATTGTACGAATGAAAAACATTCATTATTATTATTTTTTTTTTTTTAGCAGATGTTTCTGCATTTATTGATAAATCAAATATAAAACATTCAAATAACAATAATAGTATATAATATAATAGATTTACATCAAGAGTGACAACTTAATACACACAAAATAAAATATTTTTTTTAAAAATACATAATTGAAAGCTTGAAAGTATGGAGGTAAGTAAAAATAATCAAGATAAATGCAGAGGCCAACTATCATAAGCAAGGAAGCTTGAGTCGATAGCAGCCGGGAAGGGGGGGGGGGTACATGGCGCTGTTTTAGGAGAATGTAGGGGAATAGAGAGTCACATATAAAGATTTTGTTCAGAAAGTATCTGAATAAAAAGTGGAAAGAAATTAATAAAAGAAAAAAGAAGAAAAATGAGCAAGTGTGTGCAAGTTGGTGTGTGCAGGTGAAGTAAGTGTTCGATTCGTATTGTTAATGAACTTGTCATCTAAAATTAATTTAAATAAAGAATCAAAACCTCTGAGACCCTTATGATGTGTAGCCCTCGTTACTTTTGTAAGAGTAGGGTACCAAAAATAGAGATGAGATGAGTCTGTAAAACAGGAGGCGAAGAGGAGATGTGTGATGGTTACACTCGTGACACGGACTCCCTTTTAATAAAGTAATAATATATATAACACATAATTGTATATTCATATACAAACAAACAAAGTCACATAATCTAAACACAAATACACTCCTATAGTTCCTATCCTACTTATATATAGGTTTACATCCAAACTTAGCCATTAGATGAAATAGCAAAGTGAATATCAACAACATGTCCCTTTCCAATATTTAACGAAACAAAGACTTACCATTCACTAGAATGGATAATGTATAGTAACTATTAACTTAATAACAAATACTCGAAACGTATAACTGCTGAATTACGAAGATAACCAATATCTAACTCGACTAAACCTAAACAAAGTAAACAAGACGATAACAAATATGTACTAACTAATTATAACGAAGAAACTATAACTAACATAATACGAATAGACTAAATGGATTTATACATGTCTGACTAATAATATACAACTGGAGACTACTGAATGATAGATATATAGTGCTTTCGTAAACTGGACATATATCGTGCAAATGAATAATAATTGTTGCTCTCTAACTTAATTCATTATTGTAAAGGGCGGAATAGATAAATGAGCGTTTTGGTCTTTTGGACCATAATAAAACCCACTCTACATATATAATAGTGACGGCTAAAGCATATTTACTTCAGCTTCTAATACTATAATACCTGCTCTATACAGATTACAGAGTTGAGACAAACCTAGAAAGCCCAAGTTCCTCTTTGTCAAGGTAATACTTGTACTGGTACTATTAGTTAAAAGTTGTAATCCTTTCTTTGTTCTCAACGATGCGCCCACTCCGTACACACCATGTGAACGTACATAGTCTAATCACGCAGACACCAATGTATCATAGATAAAATATGGTTATAAAGTTATACGCCGATTCTACACCAATCCCTGGTATATCGGAACACATATAAACATGATTATTATCTTGGCATGATAATGTAAGATCCTAAACAAATAAACGACTTAATAACTCGATACATATTATAAGAAATAAGGACTTATAGACTAGCAAAATCTGGCTTTTCAATGTCAAATCGAAGGTTATATCCTTTTGAGATGGAAATCTCTCAAAACGTTATCAAATCGAATATGGAAAATCGTAACAATATCTCCCCAACTAGAATATGTCAAATGCTAACTAGAATCACACTAGTGGTTAATAAACGACAAAATATTGATTAGCTCATATCTTTAAGTAAGAAAGCTAAATAGATAGTTATATACAATGTGAAATATATATATTCGTGGGTACCATTCACCCATACAGTATAACGCTTCACAATTAGTTGTAAGGAAGCTATAGCTTTTCTTAACTTAAATTCTTCCCTTAAAACAACGATATCTACAAATGCGAACATCAGAACAAATCTAATCATACATCAGTACAACCGCACAAAGTTATATAACATGATAATAATGATTTACTTAAATATAAGTATGATACAAAATATGGTAAATTACCTGTAAAACAGGAGGCGAAGAGGAGATGTGTGATGGTTAAACTCGTGACACGGACTGCGAGGAGTCAAGCGGGTTCACGAGTTCAAGGTGTTTACATAAAGTGATGATGTAATCGAGCATTTTATGTGGAAACAGGATGTTGGTATGTGACTAGTCTTTATAGAACAGTCACCTGGTTACAGATGTTTTTGAATATGTAGATATTAAATATTTTTTCATCGATGCTTTGAATGAATAAAGAGTTGCAGAGTGTTTAATATTGTCAGGTAAAGCATTCCAAATGTCTGGACCATGATGTCTTATCGATTTATAGACTAGCATGCAAATGTTGTTAATATGACTATTCCAAGTTAGGTTTGAATCAATCATTACACCTTTGTTTTATACAACATCAAAGAAGATCTAATAGAACGTTAATCAACAAATTATGCTCTACTCCTTATACTAAAGTTAACTTAAAGTTGGAGTCAAGCATTCTCGATTACATTCAGATTGCCTTCGCGTCAGATACACGCAGGGATACGCGCACGGCAGAGAGGTACGCAGTCTGCATATAACCAAAAATACACGGCGAATATAACCGAAAATACACGGCGAATATAACCGAAAATGCACGCCTGTGCAATAGAACATCTATCGAATACCATGTGACCAACAATCCTCCAATCAAATGACAATGATCCACGTAGGTGTTGTTTAAAAAATAATATACACAGATAGTCAATACACAGTAGCAAACGTACAATGACATATTCATATGAAAACACGGATATAAATCGTTTTTACATTGTGGAATAATATAAGAAAATAGAATAGTTCCCCTAGTTCACCAAGAAAGCCCAGTTAAATATGAAAAGTGCCCATATTTAGAAGGAAAGGTGCCCTCTTTCACTTTGGCATGTGCCCCTTCCCATCCTAATAAGCGTGCCCTTTTTCACCTCTGATAAATGCCCCCCCCCCCTTATTTTTTATTTACAAATGCCCCTTTTTCTCAAAAAGTTGATCATGTAGTATTGGTGTGTATTGCAAGGTTCTGGAGTCATCAAAATCATAATAAATTTGGCCCAGTCTTGTAAAATTAACGAGCACCGTACACAGAAAGATGTATACGGGCCTACACAAATGGTGTCGGGCCTATACACCTTGATTTCCTTATCTTTCTATGCACATTACTCAGCCAGTATACATTTCTATCAAATTGTTTGGCAAATGACATTTATTTGAAATCTTGAACATTCAGTCTAAGTTTCGTTTGATTCTGTGAGAATTCGTTTTCTTTTCTTTTTTTACCAGAACTCAACTTTACCTTTAAACTTTACTTTGCATTATAATGATGTGTACTTCTATTTACAGTCCCTTTCCAAGGAAACAATAAAAGAAAGCACAATCATTATAATGTCGTTATTCTCCATATTATAGTCGACAAAGTGATTTCAAAGGATTCATTGAAAACAACACAAGGTCAAAAGAAAAGAGTCTGCTTCCGACAGAATCTACTTATTCCATTGTCGATAGTAATGATATCAGCTATCAGACAAAAGATAATAATAATAATAATATTCAATTTTTATATAGCGCTTAATACAAAGGTCTCTAAGCGCTTTACACATATACTATTACCGTAATTGCACTAAGATCGTAATTGCACGATATGTAATCGGTTTTGGAGCCGACCTGGCTTCCCGTTACTGTTTTGAGCGATACGTCATTTAATACACATATCTAAAATAACAGGACAAATACCCAGGGTGTATTTATACTTTGTCGGATCTGTTGAACCGGTATCGGTTAGAGTTCAAAGACCCTTTCCGATAAAAATACACATTTATATCAAAAGAAAGATGAATGAACGTAGAATACTAATATGATGTAAACAAATTATATTTTTCAAAATCGGTATTGCACAAAAGCAAATCAAAACCTCATTTTCCCCGCCCCTTTAAATCAGAGGCTAACAGGGGTCAAATTTATCGCAGTTGGGGTGCATGACGACATAACAATGGACCCGATCGGCTCGCCTGTATATATGTATATATAGCTGAGTCGATGAGCCGTGCTTGGCTATAACTCCATGGTTAATGCAAGTCATTATGAATATAAGATCATGTCGTCAAGTCACTATCTGTTTATAGAGCTGTTACCCCTCTGACAGTCTAGCATAACTATAATTCAAAGTATTGTAATACGAGGGGCGCCCTCTTTTGAAACCCAATATGTCAATCTTTCAGACCGAATAAGGCACCCGAAAATTAGTTAGCCAACTTTTTAGCTTGCTTGTCAGAATTTTAGATTTTACACGATACACACGTTACCGCTCCTTCGATGAGAGGGCGTTACAACTGTAAATTGAAATGAAAAGATAGAGAACAATGGTCAGTCCATGTGTATGGGCATCAGCAACAATGATTTATTAGGAGCTTGTTTCAAGGCAATACGTCAAGTTACAATTACTGTTTACATTATCATGGATGGACTTCATCCTTTAATAGTCGACTTATGATTATTCTACATGTAGTTCATAAACAATCAAGAAAATGGCGATGCCCATGTCTTGCTGAGAAACTGTACTATATTCTTGCTTTATGCCTTTCTCATACACTTTGGTGGGGAATCTTCTAGATTGATTGGCAAAAATGGTTAGTTCTCCATCAAAGGTATTACAAAGTTTTGGTATGGGGTCATGAATTTGGTTCAAATGAACATATTGGAAGCATATGCGATTTTACAATATTCAATGATCGTTGTCGCGGTTGAAATCGAGTCTAAAGTGATGAAATTATAAATAATACACTTGTTATATGTTGTATAGCGCCCTCTCAAGACTGATATTACTTTAGCTCTTGAACAATATTTCTTGACTACGATCGACCGATTTGCTATTCCCGTTTTGAAATTATATATCAGAACTGAGATTATTATGGTCGCAGCTACCAGAAAATGACCTTAGGCGCTATTTGAAATATTTGAAATTTACCCGGAGCACCGGTAAATGTTTGATTATTCAATTTCTCGGAAGCAGATGTGTTTTAGGGGCTAAATTTTCTAGTGCTTGTAATGCATCGACAGGGGCATCCAAATATGTCAACATTTAAAAAAGTTACTAAAATCAAACTTTCAAAATTTCCCCAAACGTTGCATTACCTTTAATGGACCCACTCGCATGCCCGTAGCTTAGTTAACCTAATAGGTTTGTATTCACCACTTTTATTCATTAGAAAATAGCATTCATATTTAAATACATGAATAATTTGTAATACATAACCTATAAAGCATAATTAGTATCACGAATAAGTTTGTTTTTTTTGATCGACAGATACATGGAATCGACATAAGTTTTAATAAAGAAGTACGTATATATGATTACTTCAAATGTTTCGAAGTTGATCAACGATAATTGAGCTACTTGTAAATCGCACAATAATATTTATGGCGAATCATATATGGCACTAATATAGCACTAATTATAACGTAATTTTTAATGTAACTTTTTTGGGGGTATGTGGTTTGAAGGTTATAGATTAAATTCCTTTGGAATGTATTGCAAGTATAACATTAAACAAAAAACAAATGTTCGGACACCATAGTGCGTCATATCCCCATTAATGAGCGTCCACGATAAGTTATAATACTCTATTCTTAATAAATCATGAAAAACATAGTAAATCGAAAAAAGAACACATAACAAGGCAAGATAATACGTATTTCAAATTAAAGATGTATAAACAAAGAAGATAATAAAGCTTGTAATATTTCGAAAATAAGGTTATTTCAAGAGCCAATGGATCATTCCTTTTAGGGATTATCTTTTTATTTTTTTATTCTTCCACACTAAGATTTAAATTAGAAAGCTCATAATTTGTCACCAGTTAATATTTCCGTGGTCCCTAAATTCCTAAGTCACGTTCAAATCAAGACTATTATTACTGGGGGGGGGGGGGGTGTTTCACAAAGATCCTAAGTCGTACTTAACTCTGAGTTGGACTTAAAAATTATGGAGAGCCATTTGTAGCCTTAAAGATAAAGACCAGTTATGGTTATGCGATTGCATTGTTAAAGAAACGTTGTGGAATCGGTCAGAAAAGGTTGATCATCTAGCATATATATTGGTGTGTACTGCAAGGTTCTGGAATCATCAAAATGATAAGAAATTTGGTCCAGTCTTGGTAAAGTTACAAGCACTATACACAGAAAGATGTATATGGGACTACGCACACGTGCGCGACACGTGCGTTTATCTCTCACACACCAATAGATAAACTAATTTACCAAATATATCAATTAGTAGGCGGTTTCCCGGCAAAATTTGTATCATCATGTATTACTAAAAACATATTCTTTCACATGATTGGTAATAAGAGCTTCCATTTCATTTTTTAAATTGTGGCGTTTCCAATACTGGTCTTTACCTTTAAAATAAAATATATTCAATGGTGAAAGTTCAAGTATTTTAGACTTTTTATAAATTCCACATCAAGAACATGAAATATCCTTGATAATAGAAAAATTAACGATTTGAATCAATATTTTATGCCTTTTAAAATAACTTTTACAAAATATTTTCATAGATGCTAACGGCTTTCCATAATTTTTAAGTCCAAGTTAGAGATAAGTTCAACTTAAGATCTTTGTGAAACACCCCCAGTAGTTTTGTAACACAGGGTATCACATTTGTATGGATAGATGACTTGGGCTAAAACTCTCTTTAGCGTGACTTCTGTGCCACATGCCTCTGTGTTACGATCGCACCGCCGAATGTATAAGCTAACTGTCATATGGTCCAAAACCTCATGAACTAATTCCAACACAACGTCAAACCAAGGAGTTCTAAAAGCTGGAGTTATATCTAGCTTATTCCCTTTGATCCATCTTCGATGCCGCCAGGAGAAAACATGTCAGGCATGTGCTTAACTCGATCTTCCTTGCAGATAGGTAGACAAAAGATTCCTGCCTAGCTGGAAACTAACTTGTCTGACTTGATAATATGACGAGCAGTACAGAGTGCTCACCTTTACAGGAGGCAAGGGAAAGAAAATGGAGCAAAGTTTCCTGACAATATTAATCAAAATTACTCGACTGGGCATGTGTGGGCACTTATCTGACATAATAGGGACTTTTAGATTTGCACGTCGACATACTGGACTGCTGCATGTGACGTCATTTTAAGGCAAAGTACTGACGTCACACGTAGCAGTCCACTATATCGACGAGCAAATCTAAAAGTCCCTAATATTTGATAACATCATAAAGAACTGTACTTGAACAAATTCACTTTTTATTTTCGTGTGCAGGAAGTAATCGGAAAAGTGTCTGCAAAATGTTACTTTTTTAACAAATTAAAACTGCTATTATAGAATGTAAGCAAACTTCTTGACCGAATTAGGCTTTTGTATTCACATTTTATCATCTGTTTGATTTCCCCCCTTGTTAGTTCAAATAAAAAGTGAAATATTAACGATATTTCTTTGTGAACAAAATCAGTACTCAAGCTTTCCAATATATTGGTGACATCAAACCTCAGACATCAAAGGTAAGAGCACACCTGTAGATAAAATTGTGCAACCTTAGAAAACAGTTGCTTGAAATATCTTTTTGCCAGTTGGGCCTCCAGCTCTTAGAACTCCTTGGTCAAACAAAGCTTTCATCTCTGCATAGTTTACCGGCGGTACGTCACGCTATTTCAAGTGAGTTTGCCCGAAGTAGAAAACGAATTATACAGACTATTGGTTCATCAAACACATGTTACTCTTTCGCTCACGTTTGCCTTGGCCTCCGATTTGTTTTCACTTTTAGGATTTTGCTCCAATATAAACTTGTTCTTTTGTCTCGCCTCCCTCTTCTTGCGGAACAGGTCAAAGGTGACGAAACGCTGCGGGGCGAAGTAGCGTTGATAAACAGGCGCCATTAATACACACAGACCTGATGTAATGTACATCCCTACGAAAGCCCACATTGCACTCGAGTACGAGCCGGTGTTGTCAATACTCTGGCCTGCAACAAAGACACAATATCAATCATGACCAAGATGTTGACTAGAAGAGCTTCGTGATTCTCTTCTTTTCTTTGATGTCTCTCAAATATATTTTAATATTATTATGTTCATTGAAATCGTTTTATCGCCTTTTTATACATTTGTTTTTATTCATAATGCCCTACATTATATTTTATTTTAATTATTATTTAATTTCCATGCAATGTTAAAGCAAAAAGCAAAACACAGAGACGAAGGGAAAATAAATTGCGACCGAGGATAGCAAAAAAGAAAATAATAGTGGAGTTTTCCTTAAATGTTGTTATGTATATGTTTGTAAACCACCTAAATATTAGGTGATTTACAAACATATACATAACAAAATTTAAAAGTTCAAACAATCTCCATTTAACATAAAGATAACAGTAAAGTAATAATGAGTATCTACAACAGGAGACAGCTCAGTTAATAGGCCTTAACATTTTAAAAATACATATATCTGGAGAAATATATATCGGGCCCCTCTCCCTTCGGCGCTTCTTCTGCTCGTTGGCAAAGTTGCAGACAGGAGGGCAAGCGCGGGGGGGGGGTCCCGTTTTGTCATGGATTTTTTTTCCCTCGGGTATCTCGTCAGCCCTCTCAACGTGCCCCAGACAAGATTGGGACCCCCCCCCCCCCTCCTTCCTTACATAACAATTTGTAGCCTTAACTTCATTTCGTGCAAGTAGGGAGCCGCGCATTTTGCCCTCCCCCTGTGAAATAATAAAAATAAAAAGCATTCGCAACAGGAGACAGCTTAGGCCTAAACATTTTCTAATTAAATGTATCTGAAGAAGTATGATCGGGCCCCTCTCTCTCTCCTCAGCACATCTTCTGCTCTTTTGTAAGGTTGCAGATATGAGGGCAAGCGGGGATCCCGTTTTTTCATGGAATTATTTTCCCTCGGGTATCTCGTCAGCCCTCTCAACGTGCCCCAGACAAGAAAGAGACCCCCCCCCCCCCATAACAATTTGTAGCCTCAATTTTATTTTTGACCAAGTAGGGAGCCGCGCAGTTTGCCCCCTCCCCCTTTTCCCCTGACTCCACCAATAGGGACTTTTAGATTTTGCACGACGAGAACGTGGAATGCCCTTTTAAGGCAATGTGACGTCCTTTTAAGGCACTGGCAGTTACGTCACAATGCCTTAATAGTGCAGTCCGCGTTCTCGTCGTGCAGCATCTAAAAGTCCCTAGTGCTAGGCCTACTTACCTATAAGAGAGCCGAGGGTAAAACCAAGACCGTACATGAAGATAATAACGGATGAAGTCTCTAGCGCCCTCTCAGGTCCAAAGAACTCCGAAGGAATCATGAAGGTGATGATATTTGTGATGCTCATCATAACACTACCAATCACTATAAAAGATATGCATAAAATTACATCAAATCGGCAACAATTTTTTTTAAAACCAACAAACATACATAAACAAAACGTAGATATTTGGGGTATTATATAGATGTTTAGGTATGGTTGTCACGGTACAATTTGATGTAGGTCATATTTTTCAAAACATTCGTTACCATGAATGATATTGGTTTAAAGGTATAGAAATATATCGTGTTTAAAACAGTTTAATTCAGCTTGACGAGTTCCAATCACTTAATGAATCATTGTGTACAGTAAGATTTATTTTTTTAAAGGCTAACATATATTAACGCATTCTATGGGTTAATGGTTAAGTAGTATAAAGACAGAAATGATAACTTTAATGGAGCACGCACGGAGCTCAAGCCGAAATTAGGTTCCGCGCGTGCCCCATGCTACTGCACTACGGGTCCGTCGACTAGTCTACCCATGAGTCGTTCTTGTGGTTTATTGAGAGTGTATTATTTGAACTTGTAATATCTCTTCATAGAGGAAATATAAGACGGTGTGCACCTCCTTTGACCGACTCACAACTGCAGAATATCATTCTCGAATTAAAAAGGTGCGTTTTTAGCAAGTACTTGAATTGGTCAAGAGAATGATTATTATGTAAGTGCGCTGGTAATTTATTCCAAAGGATAGGGGCATTTACTGAGAAAGCTCGATCGCCATATTTTGTAACGGTACGAGGTCCAAGGGTTAACTGCAAGGTTGATGATGATCGAAGAGGTCTTAAAGAGGTCTTAGAGAGAGCAAGATATTTGTTGATGATTTGAAACAATTTAATACTAACCGACAGCGATGATATACATGATGATGCGATTCCTGGTGAGCAGGATCAGGAGCATGACCCCTATACCGACCAAGCTGGAGATGGCCAGGAGAAAGACTCGGGGAAACGGGACGTAGTCACCCCCTAAGGACATCGTGATTCGCCCTACCAGGTTGGCGAACCCTAAGACCGTCACGACTTTGACTCCGAACTCTTTTTGGAAGCCCACGGATAACATGTAGTTAATCTTTGATCGACAGAGAAAGATGAAGAAGGTTTCGTGTCCATGGAAGTTAGTGATCTTATTTCTGATTGATAACATGGCAATACAGTCTTATTATTAAACAAAGTTCGTTTCTATGAAAGCAGAGAAGATAAGAGAAACAGAACGGCGAAAGTTAGACATAAATCGGACCAGATAGTAAAAAGAGAGTTAGAATATGAGATCATTAAATCTATGCGAATGTCAAATTGACAATTGACAATTTGAAAAATGGGTTGCGACTAAATCACGGAAAACTCTCCTTTCTTTTCATAACAAACAAAATAAAAAGAAAGAACATTATCATAAGAGGCTTAATACATTGAAAACAAACAGAGAGAAATATTTTTTGTGAGCGTCGAAATCGACAGCCTAGCATAGCCGGGTAATGTTGGAGCGCCTTGAGGACCTTGCAAGGTCGATACGTGCGCTATATAAGAATCCAATATTATTATTATTATTATTATTATTAATTAGAAAAGATGAGTTTTCAGACGCCTCTTAGAAGCTGTGGGAGTATAGTCATTGTATATCTTCTCCTTTCTTTCCAATTCGAATACACACATGTCGCATTAGGCCACAGGTTTTGTTCAAACCTTCCAGCTATTTGTCGTCATATTTCGAATATAGAGCGATCGAAGCGGAATCACTTGGGAGGACATTCCTATTATGTCAGATTTCTAATATGACGTAAGAAGAATGAGAAAGCTCCAAAGTTATACCTGAACCAGAACCGAATTTTCTTTTTAAGTTTTGTATTCACTGCCATTCCTTTTTAATCCCCATCCTCTTCGTAATCTCTCAAAATAAATGACTAGTTAAAAACTCACCAGATTAACAAAGTAAAAACTATCTCCTATTCCATTAAGGACTGTCGATATCGATAGCAGCCAGAGTTCTGGAAATGTTAGAGCGACAAGTGTCTTCCACGCCATGCCATGATCTGAACGTTTCCCCTTCTGTGGCGTCAATGTTTCACAGCGCTTCACAACGCCACAACGCGACTCTCCATTGAGGCAAGGATCACCCTCGCAAGGAATCTCTCTATCAAAAGAGCGTGGGTACCCCTGTTCATCGTTTAATGTGGTGCATTTAGCACAGCTCCCTCTGCGGTGATCTGACGACGTTTTTGCTTGATGATAGGTCTTCTTTTCTTCAACCAGATCGTTGTTCTCGAGTTTTTTTAAGGATCCAACGTTAGGGATCCAGACCGCAGCTTTGTCACTGTGGTACACCTGCGCCTCTTTACAGGTACAGTTATTCGCGTCCTCAAGGGCATCTGTGACTGGTTGGAGGTCTTGATATTTGTTCTTGTCATCATCGGGTTGGTGAGATGAGTTTGGTGGTTCTGCATAGGTTAATACACACGGAATACCAACTAAAAAGAGAAGAGAACCCATGATCCGAAGAAGAACCCTCCATCCATGTCTTGTGATGATGAGAGACATCAGGGGTGCGAAGGTTACCACACCTAGAAGAAAATGAATGAATACCAATATAGAACAACATGGTGATGCGTACAGGGACATACAGAGACACACTGGCCACGAGGAGTTGGGAAGATTTTCAAAGGGCCATTAGATATTTTAGTTTGAGGGATAGGGCTAGTCGAGTTATTGTCTGAGAGCCGGTTTGTGAGTATCTTGTTCGTTGAGGGGGCAGCTCATATCGCAATTCCGTAACCGACTTTTACTCGATAGAGTCCGCCCCCTGTGGAAAAACAAAACTTCTTATTTGTCTACTTTTCCCTCTTACCTAACTTTCTTCTCCTCCTTCTTCTTGTTGTTCTTCTTTTTGCTCTTGTTCGCCCCCCCCCCCTACTTATTCTTCTTTTTCTCACTTTTTGGGGCTCCCTCATTCACCTCTAGACACTTTTTCAGGTTAGCAGGGAGGACAAATCGAATTCAGAGTTTACTTTGGATTTCAATATTACAATGGCTTTTGTCAAATTGCCAGTGTATTTATTATGGTTGTTGAATTAAAATGATAACCTATACTAACCTAAACCGGGCCCTATCATGATCATGGCCATTGCTCTTACGCTATTCTGCTCTGGAAAGTACAACATGACTACACCGATAGAACTAACAGTCACCAGGCCGGCCCCGATGCCAACCATAACGCCGTACGACAAGAAAGCTGCAAGTACGTTTGGTAGAAATGACGTCACAATGAGAGCACCGGCTGACGTCACGATGCCGACGACGGAAACGGGTCGGTATCCGAAGCGCTCGGTGAGGACGTTGACCACGGGAGCAATAAGCATACTCAACCCTAATGCGGTGGAACCGATCCAACCTGCGTACAACAAGAACACAAATTGTTAATAAATAATAATTATTATTAATAAGGTAACAGTAACCAAATCAACAACAAGAACAATAATAATGAGATTATTATTAATATTTATTTGACCAATCGGAAAACATACAATGCGTATACAAATCAGATAATACATAGACATTTCATTATATAAAAGTGGAAAGGAGAGGGGGAGAAGGATACAATTTGCTGGTTAGGGTTGACAAAAGCAATTGAAATTGCTATTACTCGAAAGCATGTCATCCCCAAATCTATAAGCAATTACTCACAGTTTTTGTCTTTTTCAAAAACTCATTCAAAACACGATCATAATTATATAGGGGAAGTCCACCCTCATATAGAGTTGGTTTTAATAAAAGCATAAGAACAAGAGTAACAAATAAGTGAAAGTTTGGGCGATATCTGATTAAAAATAGAAAAGTTTATGAATTTTTGTAGATGTCATCAGTGACATTGGCAACTCGACGTATCTTGCGAGCTCTTCTCCCTTCCCCAATTAACTCTGTACATAAAATGTCATAAACTTTCATTTTCTTAGTTATAGATGACGGGATTATGTTTCAAACAAGGGTTTTATCAAGCATTTTTGCAATGATTATATTAAGGGTAAACATATGATTCAAAATTTTCTTTAGGGGAAATATACATTTTTGAAGCTTTTCAGTACAGGACTAATGGGGACCTCACAAGATACGTCACAGAGTTGCCAATTTGTGTTTGATTTATCGCACCTTCAACAATTCATAACATTCTTATTTCCAATCGGTTTTTGCTCTAACTTTCACTGATCTGTTTCTCTCATTTCCGTTTCTAATAAAAGCAACTGAATGTCAAGTTTGACTTCCGCTTGAAGGGAAAATTTATCATTCTGTTCTTCTTTGAATTGGCAATACTGATGGATAAAATGTTACATCGTTCTAAATGAGTGGTGCATAGGATATGAACAGACATAGAGGGAATTTTTGCTTGGAAAAGCTGTTGGCCGATTTGTACAGAAAACGGTAATTTTAATTTCGTCACGATGATGCAAATTAAGGGTGGTTCAATTTTTCTTTTTAATGACATATTACGTCATTATGCTCAAATATTTGGTAATTTCCAGGTCTCTGAATCACAAGTTTAATATCGAAACAAACACAAATGTTGGCAATTTCTGCCACAGTTCATTTATTTATATATTTATTTATCAATACAGGCTGAAGCGCTGTATAAACGGCAGCTAGGCTAAAGCCGGGGTAATAATAAATGTGCCTCGGAATAGAATTATCTAGATAGACGGCGCTATAGAAATGCCTATTATTATTCTTATTATTAAGGAGTCAATTTACAAACAGAATACTGCAATATATTATTGACAATTGACACATAGATTTAGATATACTTTTCGTGTTATCTTAGATATGTGTATTAAATGACGTATCGCTCAAAACACTAAAACAGTAACGGGAAGCCAGGTCGTTTCCAAATCCGATTACATGTCGTGCAATTACGATCTTTTGTCCGATAGCTAATATCGTTAAGATCGAAAATGGAATACAGAGATTCTGTCGGAAGCAGACTCTTTTCTTTTGACATTGACATTGACATTGTGTTGTTTTTAATGAATCCTTTGAAATCACTTTGTCGACTTTATTATTTACGATGACGACATTATAATGATGTGTGCTCCTTTTATTGTTTCCTTGGAAAGGGACTGACTAAGAGAGTCTACACCATTATAATGTTAAGTAAAGTTTAAAGAAATATGGGGGAAATTGCTTCATACTTCCCATCTAGACATTAAATATGTGGCATTATTTGAGTCTCCTGACATTTCAGTTTGTTACATACTTTATAAACTTTCACCCTCTTTTCTCTGCAATTGTTTATTACTTTCTAATTCACTCGTATTTGTCACTTTTACCTTATCTGCTCTCTGTGGCTCCCTTTCTCTCTCAGTCTCCCTTTCTCTCTATCTCTCTCTCCCTCTCTGTATTTTCGTCCCCCTCTCAGTAGTCTAAGGATGTCTATGGAGTCATAACTGTATTGTTTGTTTTATGAATTATGAATTATGATATGAAATATGAAAAATGTAAATCCATAACGTGTATGAAGTATAGATATGAATATGGATCCATAAATATGCATAAATTATGAATAAATTAAGATTAAAGATATGGATGACGTCACACCAACGACGGCATGAACATGACGTCATGCTCTATAACCAACCATGACGTCATAGTATTGCGACAGGATTGCGAAATGGGGAGGGTCGGCAGGCCTGGACTTGGAGGGACGTGACGGGGCAGGAAAAGGAATAAAACAAAAGGGGGGAAAATCGAGGGAAAAGGTATAAAATGGGGAGGAGAAATGCCCTTTTCATCAAACCAGATAAGGCATCCACAACTACGAAGAGAAAATTACAACGAGGGTAGACGAATTACAACAAGTGTATTACACCTGGACAAAAGCTAGCCGATAGCGAATGGTGCCACGAATTCCAGAAACAGGTGGAAAAGGCGGACTTGCTCATGGTGATCGAATATCTCACGATTATCGAGGTTTTCAAAGACATAGCCAAACATCCCAGCAGTTGGATAGAAGACATGGTGAAGGACAACCCTCAGATGAAAGTCCACCATGCACTACAATACCTGGACCCTCAGAAGGTGGCAAAGTTTTACCCCCATGTGGCGAGAGTGATGTGGTTAAAACCGGAGCTGATGGACCCCGTCCTTTTCACAGAGTACCTCAAATTTCTTCTGAAGGGCGACACCGAGAAGGAGTTGAAAGAAAGGAGGGAAAGAATAGCTCTTCACATCGAGGGAGTGGACTCGGCTGTGCGTACGGTGTACCGTGCCATGGGGGAGGAGACGGGGCTACCGGAGTCAACTTACGTATAGAGGGAGCAGGGAGGCAACTGTTGTCCACGATCATTCAAGGTACGAGCGCAACGCCCTGCTCGGAAATCGATCTTTCAAAACTGAGGGTCCTGTGTCAACGCATTATGATGAGGGAAGATTTTCAACGACTGGATAAGATTGAACTTTACCCTGATGACGATTTCAAGGCGTTTGCACAAATTCTTCTTTCGAATTGCATCGAGGATAAATCGTACACCAAAATAAGGGAACGGGCCGCCGTTGCTGTATGTTATTTCCTTAACATCCATGACGCCATCGCCGAAGAGAGTAAAGTCATACCTAACTGGATGGTCATCCAGGGTAAATATAGCTGGGGAATTATCTGACCCATGGGTATCTGATTTTGGAGTTCCTCAAGGGTCAGTTCTCGGACCGATCCTTTTTAGTATATATTACCCCAATATCTGATATTATTAATAAATATGGTTTACAGTATATTTGCTACGCTGATGATATTCAGTTATTTACTTCTTTTGACCCACGCTCTCAAACATTAACGAAACACTCCACCAAATCTCAATGTGCATTGCAGAGATCAGCACTTGGATGTCGTCGAACTATCTCCAACTTAATAATAACAAAACTGAATTCATGGCCTTCTGTTCTTCCGCTCACCATCTTCAATATATATCAGATGTACAGCTTAAAGTAAATAATCAATTCATTCCTCTCTCTCCTAAAATTACAGATCTTGGTGTATGCATCGATAATATGTTCAAATTGACCTCTCATGTAAACCAAGTAGTCCGTAATAGTAATTTTCATCTCCGCAATTTATGGAGGATTCGCAGATTTATTGATTTAAAGACATGTCACCATGCTGTCCGAGCTCTTATTATTTCTAGATTGGATTACTGCAATAGTCTTTATACTGTTTTATCTGCTAAAGATAGAAGGAAACTTGAAACTGTCCAGAATCGTGCCGCTAGATTAATTTTTGGCCTTGGGTCAAGAACTCATACTTCACCTTTACTTAAGGAGCTCCACTGGTTACCTCTTCACCAACGTGTTCTGTTTAAATTCTGTTTGTATGCTTTTAAAATACTCAATCATCTGGCACCTGAATATCTTAATGACACCCTCCAAATATATACACCAACTCGTAATCTTCGTTCAGCAACCGACACATGTAAACTTAACATTCCAAATCTAGACTCTCAGTAGCTGAAAAACGCTTTGCAGTAGCTGCATCAAAGACATGGAACAGCATCCCTCTTTCCATAAGGAAAATTACCTGTCTTGCCACCTTCAAAAGATCCCTCAAAACTCACCTTTTCCCCCAATGATCTATGTGATATACTTCCTGTACTGTACTTTCTTGTCCTCTTTACATATATTTGTATTTGTAAGCGCTATGGTACTTATTGTTTTTAGCGCTCCTAAATATTCGATATTATTATTATTATTATTAACAAGAACTGTTGAACGCTTTCATCAAAGAACTTTGTAAATACGACGTGCCCTGGGTTTTGAAATCCGCAAAACCGTGTAAATACCCATGGCCCTGGGAAGCGGGGGTGCTGGGGGTGCAGCACCCCCGGAATTTTTCCAGGGGGGGCATAGCACCCCCTGCAAATTTTTTCGGTATGATATATTAACTGTATATATATACGAAATTATAACGTTTCTTTCACAAAATCATATACAATTACCCCTCGAAGCTTTTTTTAGGTGATACGTACGTAGACGTATCACCTTTTGATTTCGTCAAGATTTTTATTATTATTTATTTATTAGGTGATACGTACGTAGACGTATCACCTTTTGATTTCGTCAAGATTTTCTTTATTATTTTTATTATTCTGCCATGAATTTGTTCGCAGGATATCTCAAGAATGAATTAAGCCATAAACATGAAACTTGCCATGATGATAAATCTTAGTCTAACTTAGAACTGCGTGATTTTTCAAAGACTCCAGGTTATCGTGACGTCATCCAGGCGCCATTTTGTGAAAATCAACTTATGATCATATCGTCATAACGAAAAGGAATTTCTCATTCATATTTATCATGATTAAGATCAATATCCGTCCGGTCAATTTCAGGTCAATGAATGCGCGCAAAAATGCG